GCGCGCGCGTGCGCGTGCACGCGCGCGTGCGCGTGCGTGCGCGTGCGCGTGCGCGTGCGCGTGCGCGTGCGCGTGCGCGTGCGCGTGCGCGTGCGCGTGCGCGTGCGCGTGCGCGTGCGCGTGCGCGTGCGCGTGCGCGTGCGCGTGCGCGTGCGCGTGCGCGTGCGCGTGCGCGTGCGCGTGCGCGTGCGCGTGCGCGTGCGCGTGCGCGTGCGCGTGCGCGTGCGCGTGCGTGCGTGCGTGCGTGCGTGCGTGCGTGCGTGCGTGCGTGGGTGGGTATGTGTGTGTGTGTGTGTGTCACAGGGCCCCTCTAAACCCATCTCTTGGTCGACCGCCTAGGGTTTTGTTTCGCCCGGGGACCCCCAGGAGCCGCCCCGCGCGCGCGGACTGAAAGGATTGTCTACCAGTAGCCGGAGATCGTAGCACGCCTCTGGCCCGTTGGGCCTGCGAAGTAGTTTTTCTACCCTCCTCGTCGCCTCACCAGGACCTCATATTGGGACGACGTGCACCCTGTGCTTTCGTTGTTGAGACGGCCCAGCCAATGGATAGTCGGACGGCCTGTGCTATTTGCTCGCCTCGTCGCTTCCCCTTGTGTTCGCAGTATTGTTAGCCCTTCTGGGTTTCGGGAAATACTCGCACGCGGCACGTTCCTTTTTCTTTTCGGCCAAGGATCGTTGCAGGAGTTCGTCTATCGCAGGTCGGTTCGTGTGAGGTTCCTAGTTTGCCTGGCGACGTCTTCATTCGCACAACGGTAAGCACAGCACGCCACCCAGCACAATTGTTGGGGGAGAAAGTCAGGAGGGAAGGGAAGAATTGAGACGGAGGGCGGGGGTGGAGGAAGGCAAAGGAACGGCTTGCTCCCCAGGAGAAGGTTGCCGTCCTGGACTTCAACCACCCCTTCGCTGGGAAGAGTTTCACAATGACCCTCACCCTGCTCAGCTGCGAAGAAGCGGAGCCGGCCCAACCCAGCAGCTGCGGCTGCTGCCCCTAGGTCCTTCATCTGAGGGCGCCCAGTCCATCCTCCTCGTCGTCCTCTTCTTCCTACTCCTTCCTCCTTTTTTCGACCTACCTAGCTACCTCCTCCTTCCTGCCTCCTGCCTTCTGCCTCCTCGTCCTCCTCCTATCCCTCCTCGTCGTCCTCCTCCTCCTCCTCCTACGTGCCTCGTCCTCCTCCTTTGCCCCTCGTCCCTCCACTCTCCTGCCTCGCCCTCCTACTCCCTCCTCCTCGTCATCCCCCCTACCTTCCTTCCCACCCCCGTCCTGCCTAAATCCCGCGGCAGGGCCGTCCTTTTCTAGAAAGGGAGTTCCAGCGGCCCGCGCCAGGGAGCAAAGGGAGCGAATCGCGTGCGCCGCCGATCGTGGGCTCGCCGGTGCGGGAGCGCGGCGGCGCAGGCGGTGGTGGTCGCCGTCACCCTCCCTCCATCCTCCCGTGTTCTGTGTCCTGATGGCCTTGGGGTTCCAAGAGCGCGGCATCTCTTTCCCCCCCCAGGGGCCGCCGCCCCTGAGGGGGGAGGCAGAGGAGGAACTGCAGTGTGTCTGCAAACGCTGTGGCGCCTGGCGGCGCGGGGGCAGGCGAAGGCGGCAAGGCGAGGGGCCGAACGGGGGAGGACGAGAGGGGCCCGAGCCGAAGCACGAAGGAGGGAGAAAGAAGGACCCCCCCCCAAAAAAAAAAACACGAAACGGCCGACAAAGCCTCCCCCAGAGTAAGAGGGTCAAGCAGTAGCGAAGCGTCCTGGCGTGCCTATAGGACTACCTAACAATGTTCTAAGAGCCTGGTGTGGTTTCCACGAAATGCTATTGGAACATTTCTGGCTGGGACTGTCTTGTTTTACCACATCGGGTTTCTGTTCTAAGAGTATTGCTTTTGCTATGTGAACATTGCTGGGTTCTAAGAACATGTCGTGGTAGGCCTATAGAAACGCCGGGACGGTCGGTCCCTGCTCAAGAGGGGGGGGGGAAGGGGGGCCGAGGACGGCGGGGGCAGGGGGACAGGGGGGAGCGGGGTTGCCCCTAGTGTCGGGCGCGCTGCGCGCTGCCTCTTCCCTCATCCTTCCCCTCTTCTTCCTGGGAAGACCCCCCTCCCCCGTAGAAGCATAGCATTGGTCTGCAGATCCACAGCTGCATGATGCTTCACTTGCGGTGCTCCGCGGATCCCATTTCCCCTGGGTCCCAGATGTGGATTATGATTATATATATATATGTATATATATATATATATATATATATATATATATATTCCCGGGAAATAAATGGAACCATCGTTTTTTTCACACACCGGAAATTGGATCCGCGCAACACAGAAATAGGATCCACGAAATTCCCCCACACCCGAAAAGGGGTCACATTGAATCCATTGATGTTCTCATATTTCTAGTCCAAGAGGAAAAAATCGGCCTGGGAATGTAGCACCGTTATATTATCACATACCGATAACGTATCGGCTCAGGTATTGGTACACATAATTACCGCGCTGCTCTCCGCGCGGCGCCCAGGAAAAGGAGCAGCTAACCTCTTCCTCCTTCACCTCTACCAACGGACACTTGTACAGGATCGACTCCTTTGGTCGTAGCCCTGTGCACACGGAGAGGCCCTCGGCCCTGAGCCCTCTGAGGGGGCCCGCCCCCTCTGCCTTTGCCCACCGGGCTCGCCGCCGAGAGGCCCTCTTGCTTCAGGCCTCCCGGAGGGGATCCGAGTGGAGGGTCTCGCCTCCTCGCCGACGCATCGGCGATTCGGGGGTGGACAGAACCCCACCAGGACACGTCGATAAGTGAATTGTCCGTTTTCGGTTCTCGAGTGGGCGCAGGGGCCGTCATTTTTCAGGCTCGCGCCCGCCAGGTTTGGGCCCGAGGTCGTTTTCACTCAGCCACATTTTATTAAAGGGGGTTCAGTCCATCCCCGAGCGATGCGGCTCGATGCAGAGCTCGATTTTCTCCACGCCAACGTCGGCGATGCATCGCCGACGTCTCCGATGCAGCCGCCGCGCGGGCGGGGGAGAGCGAACGAGATGATTGGGCGTCAGGAGGGAAATATGGACACAGACACAAACGGACGCCGCTCCCCATGAAAATGTGGGGGGACATCGGACGTGGAGGAGGAATGCGAAAACCCAGAAACGTATCCGCGGGCCCCTTTGTCTGGGCCATCAGGCTGCGAAGATTGGATTTTCATGCTCCCTGCACCAGTCCCAGTTTCAAGTCTCCACTGTTGCAGTCCTGCTTTCTGCTTCCTGCTGCAAGTTGTTGCTGAGCGTGCGGGGAGTAACGACCCAAACCAGCCGTTCCTACCACGCCGAGATCGCGTTGTCTGAATTGCTGGAGGGGGGGCACGGGACATCTAAAAATACATGATATTCGCGTTTTCGAGGCCATAATCTTTATTAAATTACGCCATGCTCGCGTCTCCGAGGCCATAACTCTGAGCCAATTACGCAATATTCGCGTCCCCGAAGCAATAACCTTTCGTAACTTACGCGATAGATGCGTTCCCGAGGCCATAAACCTTCTGTAAATTATACCAGATTCGGCCCCCGAGGCCAGAAACCTTCGCAAATCATTATATTCGCGTCCTCGAGGCCATAAACCATCATAAAATATGCGATGCTCGCGTCCCCGAAGCCATAAACCTTGTAAACTATTTAATAGTTGCGCCCCCGGGGCGATAAGCCTTCGCAAATTACGTCGCATTCGCACCCCCTAGGCCACGGTTCCTTACAAAAGACGCTGATGAGTCAACCGCGCGATGTTGCCCAATGTAGCCTCAAGCAGCCCGCAGTCTTTCCAAGAAAGCCTCCAATGCACAGCATGCGGAGGCAAGCTCAAAAAGCAACACCAAGTTCAGCAAGATAATCCGTCTCAAATTGTCTTGGCAAGTCATCATCGTCTCCGCATGAAGTTCCGACGCTGCTTCACGGCGGAGCCCAGGCCTCCCGATCTATTTCTTGCATCTCCCGACGATCCGAGAGAGGGGGCCGGCGACAGGGGGCGAAGCCCTTGCGGATAAACACATGGGGGACCCTGGGACTTGTGTGCACCTCTCTGTGCCGCCCTGGGTGCGGGAGGAGGAGGAGGAGGAGGAGGAGGAGGAGGAGGAGGAGGAGGAGGAGGAGGAGGAGAAGGAGGAGGAGGAGGAAGAGAAAGAGAAAAGAGGAGGAGGAGGAGGAGGAGGAGGAGGAGGGCGGGGCCGGCGCCGAGCGGCGCAGGCGCGCCAGTTCCTGCGGGGGGGGGGGGGGCCGCGGGCGGCGCCCGCCGCGCGGGGGTGCGCCCCGGCCGCGGGCGGCGCGGGCGGCGGCTTCTTGGCGCCGCGGCGAGGCGCGGGCCTCTCTCGGCCGACCGCCGGCGGCGGGCGGCCACGACGGCGGGCGACGGCGGCAACGGCCGCGACGACGAAGGCGGCGGCGGCGACAGCGAGGCGGACGACGGCGACGACGGACGGCGACGACGGACGACGGACGGCGGCGGCGACGACGACGGCGACGGCGACGACGGCGGCGGCGACGACGACGACGAAGTCCACGACGACGACGACGACGACGACGACGACGACGACGACGACGACGACGACGACCCGAGCATCCCGCGCTTCGGAAGATCCGAGGCGCGGCCAGTCTGTGGCCGTTTTTGTCCTCAATGGTGGTTTTCGAGCCAGTTGGGCCGTCATGGAAAGGCTCGGGGCGAAACGCCGACCCTTGGGACACATCGGGCAACCTCGGGGCGCCAGATGTTGGGTCCGCCTCGTCCTTCGTCTACGCCTCGTTTTCCAGATCATGCTTTGGTGTTCTCTATCTCTCTCTCTCTCTCTTTCTCACTCTGTCTGTCTGTTTCTCTCTGTCTCTCTCTTTCTTTCTCTCTCTCTCTCTCTCTCTTTTTTTTTTCTCTCTCTCTCTCTCTCTGTCCCGTCATCATCCCCTCCCCATCGCCCCTGCCCGTGCTAGAACCCCGCCCCTCCTCCTGATCATCCTGCTTATCCGCGTCATCCCCCATTCCTCCCTCTTCCCCCTCCCTCCTCCTCATCCTCCTCCTCCTCCTCCTCCTCCTGATCCTCCTCCTCCTCCTTCTCCTCCTCCTCCTTCTCCTGATCCTCCTCCTCCTCCTCCTGCTCCTCCTCCTCCCTCCCACCGGGTCGACGGACGCCCTGGCTGCAGCCCCCCTTGGCCCACAAGCCGTCGTATCGGAGCCTCTTGGCGGTAGCCCTCCTGCGCAAGCGGATGGTTGCCCTGAGGTCGGGTCTTTGGCGGGACTTGCGCCGCTGCGACTGCGACGACCGTTGTGCGGCCAGGGCGCGAGGGGCAGCCGCCCCCACAGCGACCGCGAGGTTGCGATCGACTGGAGCCTCGAGAGCACCAGCGCGGTTCGGCCAGAGGAGGTGAAGTCCACGGCGTAGTGGAGAGGCGCTGGGACTACAATCGCAGTGCACGTGGGCTGGAGCCGAGTCTGGGCCGGGCCGGCTCCCGCAGCAGCGAGCATGGCGTACTGGGCAGTCACGGGGACTACCATCACAGCGCACGTGCCTCGGAGCTGCGACGGGATCGCGGCCCAGAATCCTGAGGAAACCCCCGTGGCAGCGAACACCTCAGGAACTCTGTCGCCACGTCGAACAGGAGGCGTCAGGGCGCAAATTCCTGAGGAAGCCCCCAGTGTTGGGAGCACCTCGAACTCGATGTCGCCACGTGGAGCTGGAGCCTCGAGAGTGGGTCACGGTGGGCGGCCACGGACGCACCACGTCAGCTGGCACGACAGCGAGGTCCACAGCGAGTCCCTCACCCAGGTCGGGAATGTCACCGCCAACCTGATGGACATGCCCATCACCCTGCCCCGAGGCCCTCTCGAGCCTGCCGTCGACGTGGGAAGGGAGCCCCCTGGTAGTCGTGAAGCTGCCCCAGCTGATCCTCCTGCTTGGACGGACAGTGTCCCGCCCACCGCTGCCACGGACTACCATGCCCACCAAGCGGAGCAGCGGCTCAGGCGTTTCCTCAACAGGCTGGCGGACCTAGCGGGTCAGTGGATCTTTGCGATGGCCATGCGAGATGGAGGTCACGACTCGTGGATGGCCCACTGCATCGGGGAGACGAGCGAGCACCTTGCGACGGAGCCCTTCGACGCTCTCTTCGAGGACATGTTGCCTGTCGGGGCCATGCGCACGAGGCAGCAGCGCGCTCGTGAGGTGCGCGAGGAAGCATGGAGACGGGGCTGCCCAGCCCGCATGGCCGCCACGCTGCTGCCGCCATGGTTCCCCCCAGCCACCCGCGCGAGGCCCAGAGGCCGACCCCCGTCCAGGGGTGCTCACCGCCGGGGCCCGCCGTCGCCATGCCCTCGAGCTCGCAGCCCCGCGGCGCAGCTCGCGGGCGCGGACAGACGCAGGCGGCCCCGCGGCAAGACCCCGTTGGCGCGCGCAGCGGGCAGCAGCAGGGCCTTCCCCCACATGCTGGTGAGCACGAGGGTGCCGGGGTGCCCGCGGGCCCTCTGCGCGCCGCTGGCGCGCGGTTGGGAGAGCGCGCCGCCGCTGGAGGGGCGGCGCGGGCGGGGCGCCCGCGGCAGCGACGCGGGCGCGCGGCGGCGGCCATCTAGAACGCCGCGACCAGCGCCAGTGCCAAGTGGCCGGCGCCGGCAGCACTCGGGGCCGACGCGTCGCGGGACGATTTCGAGAGCCGCCGAGGGGCGAGCCCCTTCGCGCCGAGGACGCACGGCCGCGGAGATGCGTCGCGGACCGTCGAGGACCTCGCGCAGGACTGCGGCGCGCGGCAGAAATTGGAACGCCGCCCGTCGTCTTGTCCCAGCCGCCGACGGCCGACTACCAGTTCGCCGAGTCCGTCGAGCGCCCGCGCGCGGTCGGCGCGCTCGAGCCCGCCGGCGGCATCCGCACAGCAAACTGCAAGGCCTTGCCCTCCAACCGCGTCGCCAGATGAACGCGCGATTCGGCGCGCTGCCCCGGCGAGTGCGAGGGCAGGATGAGCGAGCTGGAGGGCGAGGCCCCGGCGCCCGCCGCCGGGCCCGAGCTCCGCGGGGCAACGGATCTCCAGGGAGCGCCATTCACCGGGCCCCGCGCCGCCCGCACCACACGCGCAGGCAGCGATGCGTCTCGGCGCGAATTCCGACGAGGACCCCCCGATGGAGGAGGGGCCGCATCACGGACATCAGCGCGAAGTTAACTGCGGGGATCTCCGAGTCTGCCGAGGATGGGCCCAGCGCTCCAGCGCAGCTCCGACGCGCTGTTGCGCCCCGCCTTGGAGGTCATCCTATACGCACCCATCGTCTCTCCCGCGTCAGCCCCGTGGGCGGGCACTTTCTCGCCGACCGCGGGCTGGCGCAATCGCCGCCCATCGGGAACGCGCGCGCAGCAGCGTCGCTAACCATGCGATATCAACCACAAGGCTCGCCGCCATGAGCCCGACGGCGTCGCGCAGAACGACGCCGTCGCCATGACCGCGCGCGACCCCACCTCCCGGGCAGGGACAGCTGACCGAGCCGCCCCCCCCGCGCGGCTGCCAGCAGCACGGGCGCCGCCGCGCCGGCGGCGGGAAGCGCTCGGGATTCTACTAGGCGCGGCGCCATCCCTGTCCGCTTGAACGCGCTGCGCAGCAGGAGTGCACGTGCGTCTTGGCAGCCGCCGCCGCGCGCCGATGGTCTGGGGCGCGTTTAAATCCGACGCGCCCGCGATTGGGCACTTGGCTTCGAGCTACGACGAGCGCCGCGATTGCGACCCGACCGCTCGCCCATCGCAGACCTCGCCCGACGCGAGCATCATCGAGAAGCCGTTCCTCGTCATCAGCGATCGGCCAAGCCTTCGGGTCAAGCGCAAAGGCTTCTCTGTCTCGCAGTAGATTTGTCGCCGCGTGGACAACGACGCGAACGTCTTCGTCGCGAAGCTCTGGCGGGGACGACGCGCCAGGCACTCGACGGGCGCAACGCGCGCGCGCGCGCCAAGCTCTTGCGCCCCAGCGCCGGCATGCGTCGCAGTGGCCCGGCACGTTGGCCGCGCCGCGCTGCCGATAATGGGGCAGCTGCGAACAGCCGAGGGAGGCGGCGGCGACGCCGCGCTGCTGTTGGCCGCAGCCAGACAGCGCGCGCCGCGTCGTTACCGCTCAGCAGTCACCAGACCAGCGCGCGGACCAGTCAACAGCTGCGACTGGTAAGCGAAAGCGACCTAGATGCGCGCTGCCGCAAACCGCTGGACGAGCTGCAACGGCGCGCGCACGCAACAAGGCGCGGGTGCCCCCCAGCTTCACAGCCGCGCAAGCGACGCAACGGCCAGCTACGCCCGCCGGCACCGTCTCACAAAAGAGTGCCGAACGCGAGCGGCCACGCCAGCAGCGTGCCGAAAGTGGAACCTTGGAGCGGACTTGGCTGGACGGCACGATCGGCTCCGCGGTTCGAGCGCACGCCAGGCGCGATCTGCGCCGGACCTCCACAAGCAGCACCCTGCTTCCGGTTGTCAGGCGACGTCGACCAGTCGATACCACCTCGGGTAAGGAGCCTGTCCTTAGACACTTCCTGCTGTGGGGTGCCGTTACGACTCACGACCCTGGTCATGGTCAGCGCATCCCGCGCACGAGTTGACCATAGACGAGCCGGCTGGGCTCCCCAGGGCTCACGACATCACGTTCGGGCGAAGGCTCCTGAGCCATGGGTGAGTTGTGCCAAGCGTCCATTGCTGTGGCCACGCGGTGAACGCTCTGGCGCCTCATTGCGGGTGGCCTTCTGTGGCCTGAGTGTTGCGGAGGGACATTCTCCATTGCCCAGTAGACCCGATTCGAATAGGAGCACGCGTGCGCGCCTGCCGCCATTCTGGCTCGCAGCGTGCACGCGGACTGTACAATACTGGAGGGAAAAGGGACATACGCTCTGCTATCTCTCGCGCTACCACTGCCGCCGTGTATCTTATGTTTCACCCATGCTGCCCGCAATTGTATGTTCTCCCCTTCCTCCCCAATCCTCCCTCTTTCCTTCTCCCTCCTCATTTATCCTCCCCCCCTCCTCATCACCCCTCCTCCGCCTCCTCCTCCTTTTCCTCCTCCTCCTCCTTTTCCCGCAGGCCACGGAACGGCGCGATGGAGCGGAAGAGGCTGGCCGTGATGTCGCAGTCATTGCTCCAGGGCTCGCCCGGGGCATCGGTAAACAGACGCCCACACCCCCGGGCCCAGGGGGAACCGAGGAGGGGGAGCGCCGGACCCAGACCAAGGTTGGCCGCATCACGCCCAACGGTTTGCTGCTGGGTGCGGGGTGGGCCTTGGGATCAGGTGGGAGGCTCAGCTCAAGAGGGAAAGAAAACACACAGCCACGATTGATCGTCGATTCCCCGGAAAATATGCGAAAATATGGGAAGTGGAGGGGAAGACGAAAACCCAGACAATATGGGACAATATTGGGAATCCTGCTATTTGTGTCCATGTACTTGTGTGTCCCACGGCCCCTTTATTAGTGGTGTGTGTGTCTGTCTGTTTTTCTGTCTGTCTGTCTGTCTGTCTGTCTGTCTGTCTGTCTGTCTGTCTGTCTGTCTGTCTGTCTGTCTGTCTGTCTGTCTGTCTGTCTGTCTGTCTGTCTGCGTGTGTGCGTGTGTGCGTGTGTGTGCGTGTGTGTGCGTGTGTGTGCGTGTGTGTGCGTGTGTGGGTGTGTGTGGGTGTGTGCGTGGCTGGGCATTTGTGTCGCCCGTGCATGTCCTTGCTGCCCTTCGCGCGTTTCGCCTGGCTGCGCGCGCGGCGGGGCAGGCGGGCGCCGGCCCGACGATACTCACGCTACGAGTTTTTGTTTTTCCGCGGTAAACGTAAGAACATCCAGAGGGGAAAAAACACGCAGACACGATGATTCGTCGAATCCCAAGAGAATATGGGAAAATATGGGAACTGGGGGGAAACGAGAACCCTGGAAATATGGGAAAAGATGGGGCATTATGTTATGTGTATGTATATATATATATATATATATATATATATATATATATGTGTGTGTCCCAGGGCCCCATTCAGAAAAAAAGGCCCGAACTTCACGCTGCAAGTGTGAATGTCTGTGGCGCCAGCATGCTCACAGCATGGCGCCGCAAAAGGCGAGGCGGCGCAGCTTGGCAGATTCAGTGGCCAGCGGCGCCTTGATGCAGAAGTCAACGGTGCTTTAGGCGGGGTGTTCTTTCAGCAATGCGATTGTGCCCTCGAAGAATATGTTTCGAATCAGGGCGATGGCTATGTCTTTGTGTCTGCAGTACGTTCCGTAAGTATGTAAAGTTGTCCAAAACCCCACATGATAATTCGAATCCGAACTAGTGGAAATCCGAGGTGATCGACCACCACGTCCATACAGGGTGCGCAGCTAACCAGATGACCCGCGCGCAGATATGTATGTTGACGGCTGACACTTCAGCGCGTGTTGTGAACCATTCTGCAGGTGTTATGGAAGCAGGGCCCCCTGGAAGAGATTCGTCTTCCAAACAATGCTGCCATGAATGGTTGAGAGAATCACCGTGGCATGGATTGTTTTGTTTCGAGCTCGCTGGATTGGTATTCCATCCCATCTACGCAGCGCTACAGCATATGTGTTACATAGCGGCCAAAGATGCCCATGTGCTGAGATGTGTCCAGGGGCACGCAGCGAATCAGATAGTAAAAGTCATCTACCGACGTCTGTGCAATAGGTGTCTGCGTTTATCCGTGTTTTCTCTTGCATGCATGAGCGCATTGTCACATCGACGATTGGAGTCTCTGCGCTTCAGAGCTCCTTCTCGAACTTGATGTCTACCTGTGCCGCTCCACAAGTGTTCTGGTATTGTCGCTCTGGGAGGTTTGGACAAAGCGTGCAAAGGCCAGGATCGATTTTGCAACCGACGTGCCGGTGCATCCTCCGAGTTTTTTGCAGGGCACCTGCTGCAAATATGCGACGAAGTTGTCGACCTGGCCCTGCGGGCCGCTGAGGGAGAAATCGCCCGCTTACACGAGCATGAAAAGTGCGTGCTGACGGAAAGGCCACGACTTTCGATTTGAACCTACCTTTGGCCTATCCCGACCAGTCATCGTGTTGCAGACCGCACAGGGCTGGACGAAGGCGCGCACTGCTTCGTTGGAGGCGTCGCCAAGACCACGCCTGGCAGTCTTCTGGATCTGGACGTGGTCCGGTGCACCTCGCCATGGTGCTGCCCGCGGGCACGCCCCAACGGCACCCGATCTCCTGCAGATGTCCTTGACGAGAAACGCGTGGGCCAGCGTACAGTGCCGTTTTTTTTTATACATGCTCCGCGTGCGCATCATGTCTTAAAAACGCAGGGATTCAGCACTAAAAACAACGATGGGTTCAGGCATACATGTATTCATACATTAGTCATGGATTCAAAATCCTATATTCCTTTTAAAAAGATCCTATGTATCAAGAACTGCCCTGTGGCTCGAAGGCTGGGTAAGCTTGCCATGGCTTGTGCACCCTGCCCTGAGCCGCGCGCTGCCCGGAGGCATCGAGCACGATGCTGCATTCTCGCCCTTTGCGCGCGTGGTGCTCCAGCCGCAGTCCTGTGCGCTCGCTGCCTCACGACGGTCTCGAGGTGGCGAGGCTGCGCAGATGGTCACCACCCACCAAGCCACCCCAACCCAACCCGAAGGCTCAGATTTACCCTCGATTTCCAGTGGGGGGGGGGTCGGGAAACATTGAAAAAACACATGTGGAACCCTTTACCCCCCCCCAACCCGAAATTCGAGTCTTCGGGTTGGGTTGGGGTGGTCTGGTAGGTAGTCAGATGGGTCCGCTGCGCATGTTTCGTCCGCTCCCTGCACTGAGCCTGGCCTGGACTGCAGGCTCTGCCGGAAAGCCGGCGGCATTCGGAATTCGGACCACGCAGTGGCCTGAGCGGTAGGCGCGGCAGCCCCGCGCAAATTCAATCGCGCAAATTCTATCCCCTCCTCCCCCTCCCCCTCGCGCGGCGCCGATCCGTTTGCAGGTTAATGCGTATCCTTTTCACCGCCCGCATTTCTCTGCCCGGTCCGAGGTTGGGGCCATTGCTGGTGTTTCCGCTCACACGCATAACTATTGTATTTTGCCAATGCGCCGTTTGTGCGCCAGGCTTTGACTCGCGGTGATTCAGGAGGGGAAAAAACACACAGACACGATGAATCGTCGATTCCCCAGAAATATGGGAAACTATGGGAAGTGGGGGGGAAGACAAAAAGCCAGAAAGTATAGGAAAAGATAGGGGAATCCTGTTATTTGTGTGAATTGATCTGCGTGCCCCAGGGCCCCATTCAGTGATGCAGGCCCGTGCCCCCACCGCCGGCCGCTGGAGCTTGCGGCGGCGGGGCAGGACCAGGGGAGCGAAGGGTGTCATAAGAAGGGCATCCACACAGCAAACTGGGGAAGACTGGGGAAGACAAGGGCGCCCTCGAGGGCGCGAAGTTATTCGCGCTTCGCGCTTCGCGGTTCGGCTCCGACTCCTCCTCGTCCTCCTCTTCTCCCCTGGGAGGCGGCGCGAGAGCGCGAAGTTAGTCGCACTTCGCGCTTCGCGCAGCGCGAAGCGCGAAGTTGGGAGCCCTTAACTAGTGGAAGACTATGGAAGAAAGGGAGGCGAAGACTAGGGAAGACTGGGGGAGCGAAGAGTGACACAAGAAGGGCATAGACATAGCAGACTAGGGAAGGCTAGGGAAGACCAGGTCAAGACTAGGAAAGAAGGGGAGGCGGAGACTAGGGAAGGCTAGGGGCGCGAAGGATGACATAAGCATAAAAAGCTCGGAGGTCCGCGCGGGTTTCTCGGATCCGCGCTGGACCACCCTGGCGGCGCGCGGCGCCTCTGGCGCCGCCCCTGGCGCGCTCCGCGCGCCAGGGAGGGCGGTCCAGCGCCGATCCGAGCGATCCGCGCGGACCTCCGAGTTGTTACGGTTATGTCATGGCGCTCTTCGTGGCTCGCACAGCTGCTGGGGAGCCAACGGGCACGTGGCCTTTGCTGGGGAGCGCGCGTCCTCGGTCCTTAGAGTTCTTGCTCGGCCTTTTCGTACTCCACGGCGCACATGGAGATCTATGATGCGGCACGGCCTCGACGACGACGTCGAGGGGGAGGGGGCGAAGAGGGACCAGGAAGATGATGAGGAGGGGAGAGGGCGGTGAGTTGCTTTGTTCGGGGGTCTGCATCCTCTTCGTGGTTGGGAGAGGGCGGTGAGTTGCTTTGTTCGGGGGTCTGCATCCTCTTCGTGGTTCCTCCTCGTCCTCCTCCTCCTCCTCCTCCTCCTGTGTCTGCCCCCCTCAGGGGTGCATCGCTCCAGAGCGTTGCAGAAAACTTCCGGAGCGTCTTGGATCGCCTTGCAGCGGCCGCAGCGCCCGATGCGTCTTCCAGACCCGCCAGGTCTCAGAGGTTCCCGAGATATGATCTATCCTCGTCCGAGTTCGCCCTCGTCTCGTCCGCACCGCACCCCGCACCTGTCTGCGCGGGAGCCTCCAGAGGCCTCCGGAGGCCTCCGACGGCAATGCAGGCGAGGTTGGTCATTCGCAGTGTCGCGGCAGAGAGCTGTCCGTTCGTGTCCAGCCTGGGCAGTCATGGCGTTTATCGGCTAGGAGTCGCTTATCACGCAGCCAGTCTGGGGAGGAGCAGGGAGCGTCCCGAGGCTTCCGGCCGGGCCCCCCCCCCTGGGCTCAGCCGCCACCCCATCTCGGCGGTGCAACAAAGATGGCGCCCTGAAGATTCAAACAGTGGCGAAGCGTCTTGGCGTGCCCAAAGGCCTACCGAACAATGTTCTGAGAACTTTTTGTGGCTTCCACAACATGTTCTTAGAACATGTCCGGCTGGGACTGTCTTGTTTTATCACATCGAGTTCACGTTCTAAGAACATTGGTGTTGTTCTTAAGCACATGTTTGGTTCTGAGAATTTTTCGTGGTAGGTCTATAGGAATACGGGGACGGCCGGCCCCTGCTCAACAGACAGAGAGTGAACACACACACACACACAGGCGAAGTGCACCGTGCTTGAGGGCCCTTCCCCGACATCCGACGTGTTCGTTGTCTCAGTGCGGGGTCCCTGGAAGTCCCGACCCAACCCCCAGGACCGGTGGTTCTGCACGAGCAGCTTTGTGGACCGTCCGTGTGCCCGGCGAGGGCCCCCTGGAGACCGAAGACGGCCAAAAGTTTCCCTGTCGTGATGTTTGGCTGCGGCGCAAGCACGTCTCCTCCTCCTCCTCCTCCTCCTCCCCTCCTCCTACTTCCTCCTCCTCCTCCTTCCTCCTCCTCCTCCTCCTCCCCCTCCTCCTCCTTCTCCTCCTCCTCCTCCTCCTCCTCCTCCTCCTCTGGGTCGTCCTCGTCCCTGGGGCCCCGTCCCCCGACATCCGCCGAGCGGATGCTTTCGGTCGGCGGCCCCAGAGGTCCCAACCGCTTCCCCGGGACTAGGTTTTCGTCCTGGATTTTGTCCTCCTCCTCCTCCTCCTCCTCCTCCTCCTCCTCCTCCTCCTCCTCCTCCCAGAGCTCGAAAACGGCCAGGCTGATAAGATGACATCGTCGGAAATGAGGAGAAACGCCCAGATAAAATGACATCGACTGATAACACGACGGGTCCCAGCGGCCGACATCGATGAGAAACGCCCAGACTGACAAAACGACGTCGTCGGAGACTTGGGTCCTTCAGAACCCCGCATCTGGACCCGCGCAGCCTTCCCCAGACATCCGACGTTCTAATTGTGTCGATACAGGGCCTCAGGGAGTCTCAACCCTGTTCTGAAGTAGGGCCTGTCCCTCTACAGGAGGAAGATTCGAAGACAGTCGAAAAACAGTCTGAGGACGATGTTTTGAGTATTTTGGAGCATGTTTTGAATCTGTTTTGACAAGTCTTTTTATTTTTCCTCCAAAATCCGCCCGTAGGGGGACATGCCCGACCTGACCCTTTTCCCCGGGGCCTTTCCTCGAGTCGTCTGTTGACCGCCTCGGGGCCTGGCGAGGGCCTATCGGAGGCCGAAGACGGCCAAGAGTTGTCCGCCGTGTTTTTTTGTCCCAAGCATCTCGTGGTATCGGGTCCTCGTTTGGAGCGCCCATCGCCCCGCGTCCCTCCGTCCTCCTCCCCCTTCGCCCTCCTCTCGCCCCTGCTCCTGCTACTGCTCTCCACGTGCACATGTCAGCACGTCCTTCACACGGTTCGTGGCCCCGTGGGGAGCTCCACCGAAGGCCGCAGTGGCAGGAGTCGCATGGCGGCGGCGTTGCCGCACCTTCGTTGCGGCACGCCGCATACAGTTCTTGGACCCATAGTGAGCTCCACCGAAGGCCGCAGTGGCAGGAGTCGCATGCGTGACCGATCCCATTGCTGGTCCCATGGGGAGCCCCTCCAAAGGCCTCAGTGGCAGGAGTTGCATGGCGACCGCCACCTCGTTTCGGCACACCCTTCGCACGAGTTGTGCCCTCATACAGTCGGGGCGCTGAAGAAGGAACCCTTTTCGTTGGGGAGGGGCTCGGTGTTCCTTGATTGTTTCAAAGTTTGCCTCGGGTTTTCCTGAGGTTTTCGATCGGAAATCAAAGTTGAACTTATGGGAAAAAGGGGCCTCGTTCCTTATTTAGGGTTCCTTAGGTCAACGCCCCGACTGGTCGGTACCAAGGCTCGCACAGGGTTGGGTCCTTCGTCATGGCAAGCTCTCGACGCGGGCATGCCCGGGTCGTCCTCGTGGGCTCAGGGCCCCGTCTGTGGACCCGCCCGACTCTCGATCCTCTCGATCCTCTCGATCCTCTCGATCCTCGATGCCTCGATCCTAGCTCCGCGGTCCCCCGATTCCTCGGTCTCTCGATCCTCGATCCCTCGATCCTTGCTCCCTCGATTCCTAGATCTCTCGATCATCTCGTCGGAGATCTGGGTCCCTCAGCGCCTCCTCCTCCTCCTCCTCCTCCTCCTCCTCCTCCTCCTCCTCCTCCTCCTCCTCCTCCTCCTCCTCCTCCTCCTCCTCCTCCCCCCCCCCCTCCCCCCTCCCCCGCCCCTCAGCGCCTCTTCTTGGGACCCGCCCAACCCCTCCGCCAGCAGGCCTCTGCAGGGCCCAGGGGCTGCCCGCGGGCGGCGGCAAGGACGATCACGGGCTGGCCTCGCCGGCTCCAGCGCCGCCCGCCCCCCACGGGGGTTCGGCTCGATCGGCACGCAATCCTCCTCGTTCTGCTCCTCCTCCTGCTCCTGCTCCTCCTCCTCCTCCTCCTCCTCCTCCTCCTCCTCTT